GAGCGTATAATCCAGCGGTCCCCAAATACAGAAAACGATTCAAGCCCTAGGACAATCTTTCGCTTTTCAAGTGAGTGATGTGGTCATTTGCTTTTCAACTGAGAGAACAGTTGCGGCTTCTCCTTCTTCCAACAGGTGCGTACAAAAATGCCCAGTACCAGACTAATGAGTAAATACAGCGATCCCAAAGGAAAGGCTTAGAAACCGTGTAGGCCCGCGGAGCTTCGCTTGGCGCCACAGCTGACCTACGCTCTGCCTGAAAACGTCAGGGTTTGATCGCAGGCACCGAAACGGAGTGAACGTAGGGGTTTACTCGGTGTAATTGCTGCGTCGTGGCTCTTTGGGTCCCGTTTTCAGGCGGGAGCATCAGCTCAACTGCAAAAAGTAACCACCAAAAAAAAAAATCCACAAAAAAACCCCAAGATCCTGTGACCCTCTCTCGGGGGCCTGTCACGCAGGCTGCTCTGCCTCAAATGACTGCTCTTTAAATACCTTCTCTCAGCATCAGAATAAGATCAGTGTTTAAATACAACGTGCAGTAAATACGAAACTAGTCTGCAACGGCGCTTGGAAAGTGTGTGGGCACGCTTCACCGAAAAGGGGGAACGGTGGGGAAAAAAGCAGTGGCTATACTTGCTGAAGCAACACGCAGCCTTTAAAAAGAAGCTGATGTGGAATTTTAACAATGCCGATAACGCCCTGCCTATCCGTCCCTCGGCAAGACCGAAAACTGTTCTGGGAGGAAATAATTTCAAGTGCTTAGCTGTTGGCTAAAGCTTTTAATATTAAAAACGCCGGGCTTGCAAACGTAGCGGCTTTGAAGTGACAACAGACACCCCAACCAGCTTGCTACTCTGAAAAACCCAAACAGGGGAGGGACAGGCTTTCGATAACGATGGTTTCTGAAACAATTCTTGAATTCCTCTCCCAAAATAACATTGATTGAGCTTAAACTTGGACAAGCCTCACGATTCAGAGTGAAAGAGAAATCTTACCTAGGAGACCCAGCATGATTAAGTGGATTGAATGATCCGTGGCTCATTCCCTATTTCACATTTAGATCACACCTGGAAATCACTGAACATGGTGTGAACTTACCTATAACTTCCATTAGGGAAGACAGAAACTGGAAAACTCCAAGCTCTGTGTGGGTGAAACACTATATACTGCTGACTGCAAGAATATGGAATGGTTTCATGAAGAGCCATACCAAGTTTCCAAATCCCACAAACCCCAGTATTCTAAATACAAAAAGCCCTTAGGCGTTGGAGTACGCTCATACAAAGCCAGCGACAGCTGAGAAGGGAGGCTCACGTGAACGTGCGCCCAGAGGAGAAACACACCTGCTTTGCCAACTCGAGAAGAGACGCCTCCCTCTCGCCGGTCTCTCACTTCATCCTGCTGGCTGCACGGCCAGCTTCAGCTTTTCTAGTAGTTGTTTTTGCAACTTGAGGGGGCTCTGCCTTCCACCGCAACGCTTTCCGCCCTCCGGCAGAAACAACTGCAGACTGCACGGGTGGGGAGGGAGAGGAAAACCCACCTTGCCAGCGTGGCAGCTGCAGGCGACCGGGCGTCTTCGACTCCCTGTACGGCGTGAACAGTGTGAGGTCGGTCGTCAAGGTGCCTCGTTGCTACAGTGACAGCGGAGCCAGCCAGGGCTCGCTTCGGGCTAAGGGCACTCGTTTGGCTGATGCGCGTTAGCAACTCGTATTTGGTTACAGCACTAACAGTTTAGGGATGGTCGGGGAGATGTGGAAGACTGCTCCCTTCCGAGTGAAACCTGGTCAAAGGCTGACCCAGGGAAACGGTTTTCCTGCGGAATCCTGCTGCGCTGAACTCCCTTGCTGCCGTAAGGGCCTCTACCGTGGTGTGCCGGAAGGTTCCTCGGCCGCAGAGCTGGCACACGAGGAACCCGGGCAGCCGCCTGGCCGACGGGCGCCCTGGGTTGTCGGGGCAGGGGGCGGCTCTCCGAGCGTCGTCCGTTTTGCGAAGGACGGGGATTAACGCGAAAGTAGGAACTGCAGCTTGAGTTCTGCTACCGCCAGAAGCAAAGAAATGCTGTGGAAGCACGGCGGGGGCCTCTCCCGGCAGCGCAGCGAGCGCTGCACCAAAGGAATGTCTGTCCTGGGAAAGGTTCTAGGCCAGGCCTCCAAGTCTGTATACTACCGAGCATGAAAACAGGGACAACACAAATCTTAAATTAAAGGCTCTCTTAAATAAGCATCCATCTTCTGCTGCATACACAATGCTTTTTTTTCTTTGAATATATACATACGTATTTTACTCTAACATCTGCGTATTTATTTAAACTCTGTGCTGTAGTAAAATATGCATCATTTTAATCAATAAGGATTTGCTGGCGACAATCAGATTGACATTCAAACGTAGTGGCTGAAAGCTTTTATGTGCCTCTGACATACCGGTCGCTCCCCACGCCGGGGAAGGGCTCTGTGCTACTTCTGTACAGTACAACGAGCTCTCGTATGAAAACAAAATCCCTCTGAATCTTCTTTTGTCGATACTGGTCTGGTCTACTTAAGCTACTTTTGGGGAAGTGGAAGGGGGGCGTGTGGGATAAATACGTCTTTGAAAACGAAGCAGCTGTAACCACAAAAATGAAACCAATACTAATACGAATCTACAGCGTCTGATATTTACCAACACCCTAGCTTGGCTCGTTGGCTGCTGTCAAACCTGGGGAAAGGAGGGTGAGGCAGTGCCGAGCGGTGCCGAAGACAACCAGCTTTTACCTTCCTCCGCACCCCGCTCCCGGATGACTTTCAGACAGGGAATGGGGAGGGTTAGGATGATGAAGGTGAGAACTGGAGCGAGTGACGGGGACAGCCATGGGGACAGCAAGCTGCTGTGATGTCAAATCTGAATGCTGAAGCAGTTCATGAGTCCCAACTCACGTGGTCAGAGCTCTCCAGGGAGAGGCTCTTGGTCTTGTGGGGAGAAACCGGGCTGGGAGGGCTGCTGAGGTTGGAGCTGTTCGATGCAGTCGAGTGTCTCGGAGAGTCAGAGTCCTGCAGCCCAAAGACACAGAACACCACCAGTAAGTAACAGGGCAGTGAGTTGGAGAGCGCCTGAGGGTGTCTGAGCAACAGGTGACTGGATTCGAAGGCCTCCACGTATTTTCCTTGTGTCCAAAAATACTGAGGAATTTCCTCAGAATTTCCTGGTCCGGGGAGAATTAAGAGTAAGTGGTCAGATCACACTGCTGTCAGCAGGCATAACAGATGCTGACAGAAGGATGTGGCACCTGTGGGATTCTTGGAATCACAGCAGGGTTTGGGTTGGAAGGGCCCTTACAGACTATCTAGTTCCAACCCCCCTGCCATGGGCAGGGACACCTTCCACTAGACCAGGTTGCTCAAAGCCTCATCCAGCCTGGCCTTGAACACTTCCAGAGATGGGGCATCCACAGCTTCTCTGGGCAACCTGTGCCAGTGCCTCACCCCCCTCTCCAGGAAGAACTTCCTGATATCCAATGAAAATACACCCTCTTTCAGTTTAAAGCCATTACCCCTTGTCCTGTCAGTACAGGCCATGTTCTTGCAGTCAAGATTCTACATTCCTGCAATCTGCATACTGCCAAGGGCCTCTGGGGCAGCAGAGTGTGCAACTTCAGGTTGCCTGTGAAGCTACAATGGTTCCTGTCTTTTCACAGATTATGGTCTGAGATGCACTAAACAGAAATCTTTGTGGTACGGGCCTCATCGCAGCTACCTCTTCTAGGGCACTCCCAGGATATTAACTCAAAGCATCCTATCAGGTTACTCCAGTTGGGTCTTCTAGTGTACCGTAGGATGCAACTACGCCTGAGCTGGAGTTTGGGCTGACAGTTGCCTTCCAGCTGCCACATATTCAGTCCCGTGCACAGCCTGTGTGATCTCTGACTTTCTCACTCCTTGGTAAGAAAACAGGCTGGGGGAGTTTTGCTCGGAGATTCAGACTGAACCCTCTCATGTAAAACATCCTTGGTTGGAGGGACTGAGGTTAGCATTGGGCAGGACTGCAGCCCTATCACAGTGACAGTCTTGTTCTGCACAAAATAACTTACTAAATCCTGTTTCTGCGCTAAATGAAATAACAACACGATCACTCTTAAATTACCTTGTTAACTTCAGGCACTCTGAGTACAAAATGTGAAATGGTTGCTGAAGTAGCTTAAGATTCTGTGCAAATAAAGGGCAGAAGGAATATTGCCACTTCAAGCTGTGATAAGTCACTATCAAGCTGTTACTCTACTGGGCCATAATTTCTGGGAGCCTGACTACCCACATACCTCCAGGTAAGGAGCACAGGGAGCATTTTCTGTGTGTTAAATACCAGGACGAGAGTTGACACAGTTTGACCAAAGTCTTTTGTCAGGATATGTTGAAATACAGGGAATCCAAGTATTCGTTGTCAACCACTCCCCAACTTGTAGCCAAACCCATGACAGAATTCAACTTCCTCATCTTTATCATCACAGTTGAATGCCCTCCTCTTTCTCCTGTCACTCACCTCTCGCTCGTAGTCCCTTGTTGGTGCATCGCTGCCTTGGTCCAGGCCACCGGAGGATAAGGAACCATCCGAGGGCGATGCCATAGGCTGACGCTTTGCTCCATAGCTACCTCCCGAGAATTCCCTCCGCAAAGCACTGCCGTTTTGTGCAGATGATCCTAAAACACGCAGAGGAATGAAAACTCAACGTACTAGAAATTTGTTAGCTGCTTCTCTGGTTAGTTCTGCTTTCCCCCAGCACGTCCCAAGAAGCTCAGCTCCTGGCTCACAGGTTATGTGGGCTTTTCCCATGGCTGCTGCCAGCTACAGTTTTTCCCAGGGGTTCTCTGGTCTCTCCCTTGGCGTGTCAGCACGAGCACATTTCAGCCAGCACAGTCACCGTGTTTCTGACAAAGCGGTCGTAGAAACTGCCGTGATGGCAGGCGTTGGGTGGTCTCTCTCCCAGGGTGCAGGTGGGCTGTACTGTCAGGCACAGACTCCAGGCAACACACACGCGTTCTGCAAGCCACGGGCAACGTGCAGCAAACGTGGCAGGGGATGTGGGAAGGGAAAAAGCAGGGAAGCTGGACACCGGTCTTGCCTCTCCCGTCACATCGTCTGTTATTTAGTCCCTTGCCTGGGCTCTGTGTTGTCTCTGGCACACAAAGGCAGCACGGCAGCACCAGGAAAGGTGTTTCTAATGCACTGCAACTCCTCCCTACCAGCAGCCAGTTGTCTATTGCCTTCTCTCTGCGCTAGCAGCGAGAGAGGTATCAAGAGCTCTGCACAGTTCAGCAACAAACTCAATAACCACGGAGCCTGGGAACAACTTGCCACTGATGTAAAATACTTCCACAGCTGCAAAGTAGTCCCAAGGGTATGAATGTAATTTTAATTATAACCTCAGTTTTAAAAATTTGACAGATTACAAATGTGGGACTCTTAAAAGCACTAGCTGCTTATTCATGTGCTCCTTTTCAAAGGAAAGGAGCAAGACTAAAAGACTGTGCTTGCCCTCCTTGGGGACAGAGTCAGCCATCACTTCTGAAAACCCTGTCTAGTGGCAGTATGGACAGAAGCAAACGCAGGAATGTCCTTCCCTAAAATACTTGTGCACAGACCCCAAAGCAACAGAGATCCGTTGGCTTACGTGCTGCTAACCCGCTGCTTGCGCTCATCGATCGTCCTGGTTCCGTGCGGGATTTCGTGATCGATGGGATGCTGACAGAGCCACTGAATACGGTCCGACTTTCCTGAGGCCGGAGATTCTGCAATGCAGAGACACACAACGACACGGTGACTTAGCGACTGCTGGCTCAACCTTGGGTGTTAGGAAGGAAGGCCCCAAAATACATGAAAACCCCAACCTTACCAGAGCTGAATTATCTGGGCAGCAAGTCAGCAAAATGTGCAAAATAATATTCTGCAGTTTAGTGCAGAGACGGGAAGCACAGGCAACGCGACAGCGAGGGGCTGAATTACATGGACG